AGAGAGAGAGAGAGAGAGAGAAAGAGAGGTAGTCTCAACTGTTAGTGTGGGTCATGTATTAGCACATGTACGTAATTGTGGCCATTTGTCGAGAAGCGAGAGAGGAAGAGGAAAGAGGGTAGCTCGCTTTGGTAGATACTCGCAATCTCGAATGAAGGGCGAATAGAGGAAGAGAGAGAGAGATGGAGAGAGAGAGAGAGAGAAAGCATTTCGAATCCCAGAGAGGGCGTCTCGCCTGGTGATCGTGGCTGAACGCGCAATGCATCACAGGATTGCGTAGACGATGACGTATATTTCCGAGTAATAACACGTTCGTGTAGAAAGGTCTGCTTCAAAACCACCAAAATACTACGCTTGGTCTTTCACTCTTTTTTCCCCCTTTTTTTTTTTTCTTTTTAATTTTTACTCTTTTATTTCTTTTATCGATACCTGTCATTATCTCCAAACGTGCCCGAAATACTCTGAATATTTCGAATATACGTACATTAATGACTCGAAGAGATTCGAAATCGAATTCCAAGAGAAAAAGCATTATTAAAACAGATAAAAGAATATTACGCACGTTCTACGATCTTGTAAACCGATTATTTTTCCAATAGAGATGTAATTTGAATTTATAATTAATATGTACGAAAGGTATCATGAAAATGAAAGATTATATAATAATATCGAAGTATTTTTATAGAAAGCATTATGAATGCTTTTCGAAAGTTTACTAGGGTTTTTGCAAATTGGTCTACATGAGACAAAGAGGGAGAGAGAAAGAGAGAAAAAGAGAGAGAAAGAGAGAAAGAGAGAGAGAGAGAGAGAGAGAGAGAAAGAGAAAGAGAGAGAAAGAGAGGGAAGGACAGAGAGAGGAAGAAAGAGATTTCCCGCTTCACGAAAATTTAAAGCTGATTAGTTAATTCGGATATTACGCGCTCTCGGCGCACAGGATAAATAATGTTACAGATATGAAACGCGGCTGGGCGCGTACGACTATGACCGCCCGAGCAACCGCTTTTTGCTCGAGAATCGTTAATATATACGCTTATCCGTGTCTGCTGGGATTATTCGCTCGGTACACCATCGCTCGGGAAAGGATACAAAAGAATAATGCAAATTAGTCGCTTCCCCATCCTTCCCTCCTTCCTCCTTCCTCCTTCGCTCAAATGCCATCCCATCTTGTTTTTTTCGAAGAGCCATCGTTAATATCGGAATACATAAACCCTTAGAAAAACTTTTGATATAGTCGACGCGTCGAATTATATGCTCGGAAATGTTTATCGAATGCGCTTTATATATCCAACATCACATTTTTCTTTCCATAATCCTTTTGTTGCGATCAATTCGGGAAAAATGCCGTCGGCGTCGGTCGGACATGTTTATAAATAACGTGAGAAATGTTCGAAGAAACAACGAGAAAGTCGAAAACGAAAAAGTTAGAGAAAGTAGAAAAATATAACTTCTCTTCTTTGCTTTCTGCGTGCACGCAAGCGAAGAAAATTGTTTCTATCGACTCACGAAACACGGCACCGTCGAATCGTTGTTGTACTTGTACGTTCTTGCATCGACATCGACGTCACTAAGGCCGAGTACACGTCGCCCTTCCTCTCCCCATTTATTTCGTATTGATAGAAGTCGCTCGGAAGAATAGAATGGTGCAAGAATAAAGAAAGACGAGAGAAACACTTGTGTCTTCATGGAAGACGAATAATTTGAGATTCATCGAGATGCAGCGGGGCGAGCCACTTGTAATTCTTTTCCAGCGACAGTCGCCTCCCTTTCCATTCTGGCCCTCTTCTCATCCTCCTTATTCCCTTCCTTTTATCCATGGTGCACCCGCGCCTTGATCCGCGTCGTCTTTTTTGTCTCGCCATTTGTTCGGAATAGTACGCTAAGGAAAAGTGTCTGAAGAAGATAAAGAGAGAGAGAGAGAGAGAGGGAGGGAGGGAAGGAGAGAGAGAAAAGAAAAATCCAAAGAGAAAAAGGAAAGAGTATTGAAATGAATAAGATAAGAGAGAGAGAGAAGGAAAACAGAAGGAGAAGAGTGGGGGAAAAGAGGGTGGAGCATCACTTCCCTGAAGTTAACTTCGCATTTAACATCTGCTTCGGAGGTTAAAATTTCCCTCGAGATTTACTCTAAGTTGTACGGGACGAAGGCGGCATATCTTTTGTCCCGATTCTCGAAGAGAAAATCGTTAAGAGAGCTAGAGAGAATAGGAAAGATATATATATATATATATATATAGAGAGAGAGAGAGAGGGAGAGAAGAAAGTCGTTATCATCGTACGATAGACCATCTTAGTTTTATCCTTTTGTTTTCTTTTAGTTTAATTAGTGCGACATTGCCAGCGGGCTCTTCTAGTCGATTCATATCATTTTATGACCTTCTCTATTCCCAAATAATCTTTTTCTAACACCATTCTAACACTTTTCTGTTGGAAGTTAAGGTAAAACCTCATTCATGAAACGATGCCAAGTTTTTCATTCGATCCCAGCATTTCGTATTGTTTAAGTAAACTTCTTTTACCTGCTTTTTTTTTTTTATATTAATTATTTAGCAAGAAAGATACGGGATCATCTGTCTATCCAAAAGTTGGAGGATTTTGGCTTTTAGTGCCCGTATCTTTTCAGTTTCTTTTTCAGAGGTAAAGGGTCTACCGGCAATAATATCCCACTTTGGACCTTATCCTTACCTTCATCCCTTTCTCTTCTTGAAAACTTTCTACTTCGATATATCTACCTTCCTAACTACATATTTCCTAGAACGTAAGAAAGAATAAAAGCTTTTTCTATAAAATCGAATTGGAAAGAAAAGAATCCATTCGAAAAGATTCCCGATAGATAATTCGATCCTTCGTCAATCGTACCAGATTTTTGTGATTCTTTCGATATTATTGTCATAGAATATTACACTTAAATCGAAACGAGCAAAGAATAGGAAAGGGAAGAGATGCGTAATCGGCATAAGGTCGACGTAAAAAAGAAATGCTAGGTTTAAGAGGAAGAGAGGGGGCGGCTTTCAATAATCCCAAAGAACTTTGGGGGCTGCGTTTATTAGATTATATTCTCGAAGGAAGCCAATGGGGTTTTATCACGAACGAATCGTGTAAGGCCGTATAGTGATTTTCAACTCTTCGTAAACGGAAGAGGGTGTGTAAGTAAGAAAAAAAGAAAGAGACAGCTCCAAGAGAATATTGAAATCATAACGGTGCAACCCATGAATATTATTCAAGTCTTAAGGCAATATAATCCAAAATCGATAGAGCGAAGGTGGAATAAATTTGGTCTTGCACCGTTAGGAATGTATATTTTGATTCATTGTATGCGACGGCTGATACTAACTTTTGTGACGAAGTTAATACGCGTGCGAGGACATAAAGATAGAGAAGGAAAGAGAAAGAGAGAGAGAGAGAGAGAGAGAAAGAGAAAGAGAGAGAGAGTGAGAGAGAGAGAGAGAGAGAGAGAGAGACGATGCTAGGTTTGAGAAGTTTCAAATCCATGCGATTAAACTTTGCCATCCTCTGTTCTACTTCTCTTTATCTTTCACGTAACATACTTTCTTTCGATATACAGAAGATCATGCGTTATCTTCTGCAAACTTTCTTTAGAAAAAAAAAGAAGAAAAAAAAAAGAAACTTCAATTAGATTGAAATGGATATAAATCGTATATATATATATATATATATATATATATATATATATATATATATATATATATATATGCGACAAATAAACCGTTCGATTGTTCCTCAATTAAGACGCTTCATTCTAAATGTAATTAACCTCGAGATCTCATTCCTCTGAATGAATTTATAAATATAATAATCAAGATCTGATGAAAGAATCTTTAGAAATCATGAATATAGAACACGTACGTACGTATATACATGTGAAATATACATTCTATTCGGTCGCGTGGCGCACTCAATGTGCACATTTACCTACCGTTACGATCTTCTAAGACCTCTCTTCTCTTTACGTAATTCCATGGAAGAAGAGCCCGTAGGCCGTTCGGTAAAGAATAAGTAAAAGAAAAAGCGTAGGCTGATGGAAGAAGAAGAAGAAGAAGAAGAAGAAGAAGAAGAAGAAAATGCGAAGGTTCCGAGGGCGTTTCGAGAAATCGATTTTTCTTAGGGGACGAGTCGCACGCGATGCTCGAAGCCACGAATGCTCGAACGAACGCGGGCGACCGATAACGTCGTGCCTTTAAGACCTCTTTCTCTCTTTCTCTCTTTCTCTCTTTCTCTCTTCTTTACTTCTCTAACTGAACTCCCTTTCGTGTTAAGTCCTACAAACGTATTTACATTTCATTATCGTTGGGATATACACTGGCCGATAGCCGTTCCGTTTCTTAGTTAAAATTCGCGAATTAATGATACACTTTGCGTCGGCGAGTGTCACTCTTACAATTATGCTTTCCTTCTCTTTTTCTTCTCTCTCTCTCTCTCTATCTCTCTCTCTCTCTCTCTCTCTCTCTCTCTCTCTCTCTCTCTCTCTCTCTCTCTTTCTTTGGCTTACGAGAATGGTTATTCCAACGTTAAAACGAGAACTCGTAACTAATCCGACCTTCCTACCAAGGAAGTACTAATACCGCTTACGTCCTTTACGATAGAAATCTCGATAGTTCGTAACCAAGAGTATTGACCAAGCCTCACGACGAATCCCTACGCAAAGTATCCCAGTTGAAATTTCCTCTTCGCGAATGAAACCGGTCGTGATTCTTGCGAAGCAAGTTCCGATTCAAGATATAAAGTAATATACGATTGTTGTTCCAATCGCAAAGAGATTTTATCGGTCTCTCTTCTATTTTCTTTCTAATTAAAAACGTTTCGATTCTATGATGGCAATGCCATTGAATCGATATAAATTGGTGCATTTAATTGCTTTCGATTAATTTGCTCGTTAATGTAATGTCGATGGTCGTGATAGTTATTTAGATTCATTTGTTATCGAAAATAGAAATCGTCTTTTATGATAAAGTTTTATTTTTATTTTTATTATTTTATTTTTTCAGATCCGCCAACTATGCAAATGCCACGAAAAGTTGCGAACTTTCGGACATGGACCGATTGACGGTAGCTGGTTCAAGCGCATTTCAAACAGCAAAGGACTTCGATTATCTTGAAAATCATTGCGTCGAGGAGCCAGTAAAATTGTGTGAATTCAAGAAACTTAGCGGTCGTATTCTCAAGACCGTCGATTCGGTTTATCAGGACGTTGGTACATCTGAAGAGTGTCGCGAATTGTGCTTGAATTCGCCTTTCCGTTGCCATTCTTATGATTACGGTGATACCGGCGATATGGTTTGCCGCCTTAGTCATCATTCTAGAGCTACCCTTTCAGACATTCAGGTAAGAACCACGATGTGCTGTTATGCCTAATATAAAAAAAAAAAAAAACAAAAAAAAAAGAAAGAAAGAAAGAAAGAAAGAAAGAAAGAAAGAAAAAAAAAAAAGGATAAAATTTCAGATCTAACGTCGATATAGAAATTTTTAAAAACGTTGAAAACGATTCCGAGACCGAGAAAGATTTCGTGAATTTTCTATTTGTTTCGTTTCATCGTGTTAGACGGAGATATAGAGAACGGACAGTAGAGACTTTCCGTAAAACCCGATTACATCGAGTACGCGTAAAACAGATCGAGACGGTCTACCGTAGAACGTATTCGCGGAAAATCTAGTTTCCACCGCAGATGCATTGTCCGTCGAGCCTTTGCAGTCGCGTTTCTGGAGCGAAAAGAAAGAAGAGAAACTTCGTTTTCCAAGGATGCATTCGTGAACGTAGGAAATAGTATAACCAATGATAAAACGTAAATCCATAAAAGTAATTCGTATTAAAATAATCTCTAGATGGATAGGTATTAAGATAAATGCAAATCGAAAATATGTAATTTAACGTTTCGTTGAATCTACCATCAATGAACGAAACGAAATTGCTTGCTTTTCAAAATTTAATTATTCGTAGCGTTCACACATTTTTACGTGATGATATAGATATTCAGTTATATCATTATGAAACTCAAAATCTATGAATTAACAAAATTTGATATGCACAATTGATAAACACAAATGATCGTTTATGGATAATCAGAGAAATTTATAAATAATATCAGAGAAATTTGCTTATTATCCGAACGAATATGTCTATTTATTTTAATTCAAATAAGATATGTTCATTTGATTTATCGTTTCGTTTCGTCAGAACGTATTATTAGTTGGGAAAGAAAGACTAATTAACGAAGGATTACATATATCAATGATTTCAGGAACCCTATTTGGATGTGGCAGAAGCATCGACATACGAGCTGAGTTCGTGCTATAATGTTACAATCGATTGCCGAGCTGGAGATATGGTAACCAGAATTCAAACTAGCAAACTCTTTTATGGAAAAGTCTATGCAAAGGGATCGCCGAATTCATGCGTGCAGGATGTGAAGGGAGCTCTTGAATTCGAACTCCGAATGGCTTACGACGATCTCGAATGCAACATTAGACAGCAGGGACTTGGCCGATATCTGAATGACGTTGTGATTCAGCATCACGACACGATCGTGACAAGCTCTGACCTTGGCCTCGCAGTGACCTGCCAATACGATCTGACCAATAAGACGGTTTCGAACGAAGTCGATCTTGGCGTGCACGGTGACATCACGCCAGCTTTATCAGAAGAAGTGATTGTCGATTCTCCGAACGTAGCGATGAAGATCACCGATCGCAGTGGGAACGAGGCGATCCCTTCTGCCGAAGTCGGCGACCCGTTGGCTCTCAAATTCGAGATTCTCGATCCCAACAGCCCCTACGAGATTTTCGTCCGAGAACTCGTCGCTATGGACGGCGTCGACTCCAGCGAAATCGTTCTGATCGATTCAGACGGTTGTCCTACCGATCACGTGATCATGGGACCTCTTTACAAATCCGCAACCTCCGGAAAGGTGAGTTCTCCATTATATCTTAGCACATCGCATCTACGACTCCTGTTATTCCTAGGTAAAACAACCCTCTTGGGTCAGCGTTTGCCATAATAGTCTTTCTTCGCTTACTTCATCGGACACATATAACTACCTAATAATACCGGTAACGAGTAATGTTCCAACAAGCTCGTCTACCACGGGAACGACTATTACAACGACTAGGAAAAGCTAAACGCTCTCATCTTAGACGATACTATAAAGTAAACAAGGTGTTCTTTCTTACGCTTCGTCATCCGCGTTCATATCTGCTTCTTTTACATTCACTTCTTTGACATAGAGGGCTTTTTCTTCCTCTTTGCAATAGTAAAGAAGCTAAACGCGATTGGTGTTCACTATCTGTTTTAACAAGTTATCGTTCCGCAGGAATGTTGATTCTTATCGTTCATCCGATTGCCAGCGATATTATCACCTCTCGTATCTAATCACAGGAACGTCACAACAAAGGTTCTTTCTATTCTCTCACTCTTTCGAGGTTTACGACGAGGTACTTGCATGACAAACAAGTCACGTTAAGATACTTGTACACCAAAGACCGCTTTTACATTCTTAACAAAAAGTCAATATCGTTTCTCCTATATCTTGACACTTTGCCTGGCAAGAAAAAAATGTTAGAACTCAATATTACAGCGTTGGAAAAGGATGAACTAACACAGAAAAAAAGTTAAAATAACAAAGTGAACAACTTGGAGAGGCCGTGCACGCGAACGACAAGACGATTAGACGACCATTAACGTTGATAATATTGGTACTCGTGTAGGACAGGTTTAAGGGGACAAGATGGTTTATTTCAAATATGGATATTAGAATATTGAACGGAGATTCTGCAGGAATTGACGAGGTTAGTTGAAAGAAAATAAGAGAGAGAGAGAGAGAGAGATAGAAACGGAGAGAGATAGAGTGGAAGCAGTCAGGCACGAGTCAGCCAGTCTCTCTTTACCTTTATGCTAATCAATCACTTCGATGGATTTTACGACGGGAAGCAATTTCCTTGTACCATAATAGGTCGCGTTGAGCGGTATGCCGCTGCCATCGTCATCCAACTCGATGTCGGCTTCGATGATAACATGCCCTTGACGAGCAAGTCTTTGCTGCTTGTAGAAACGATTATTACCGTCACCAATTTCGCGAAAACGTAGAAATTATTCTCGATTGGAGTTGAATCGAGCCGGTGAACTATTAGAAAATTTTTTTCGTGGATTCTCGTTCTGTTAATACGGATACGATTGGAAGGAAATGATTGAACCTAAGGGGAAAAGAAATCTTGGTTTATCCGCTCGAACGAAGAGTTGAGTTGAGTAGGTGAGGGAGAAGAAGAAGAAGAGAGAGAGAGAGAGAGAGAGAGAGAGAGAGAGAGCAGAGGAGGGAATTATTAACGGTTCACATCGAGTCCGATTATCCTCTTCGCCAAGGAGAGTCTTAATTGCACAGAATCGTACATCGAGTAACATAATGAAAGAAACGCTAATAAAGGTCTCCTCTCAGGGCATATTACGAGGAAGTAAATAGTCGTTTCCTCGTGAAATTATTAGCAAACGTCTCGTCGATCGTCCTCGTCTCCTGGAGGGCTGCGATCTTTATCGATCCGGCGGAGGCTTTGCCTTCTCGATTTATGTACCGGGAAAGAAAACGAGCGTGTGTATCGTTACGATCGTGACAGGTCGGAGATGAAAGTACGAGATGAGGAGAGAATGGTGGGGGCGGGGAAGCGATAGGTGGAGTAGGAGAGATATAGAGAGAGAGGGGGCGGAGGAGAGAGAGACAGAGAGAGAGAAAGAAACGTACAAGGGGCAGGCTGGCTCGTTAAATCAACGTTCCGCGTCATTTGCTAGCTCGCGCCGCGGCAAGATCGGCGCAATATCGCTTTATTATCAAGTAATAACAGTCCGAGGTAGAAACGAAGAGTGAATTTATATCTGGTAACGCGATGGTAAGAAATAAATCGGGCAGGTATATCATCGATGATGGCAATGTTGCAACGGCCGAAGACGAGGAATGACTTGGTTGAATTGAGGACTCCTCCTAATGATCGATTTTCTTTTCCGAACGGACTCTTCCTCTTTCGTGAAATACTTACTATAGTTCGTTTATAGAATAACAATACTTTCGTAACAATTCTCCCGGTACTTTTTAACGAGCAAACATCTCGATGACAGAAATGAGGAAAAGAAATATTAGCGCAAGAAGAACGTTGCTTTTCGAAGGAATTCGACGTTTTCGTTCGCTTCAGTTCGAAGTAACTCAGGAATTGAACAAAAAACCCGTTCCAGCGTACACGGAGAATCGTAATTCAAAATAAAACGCGTCGTTCACCGCTTGGCGACTTTATCTGGTACTCGTGAAATACAAGAAGTGGGAGGTTATTCGCTGAGCTTGGGGTACGTACGCGAGCACGATAAAATCTAGCGAGGCAACGACATTTTGATATAGTATTCGACGACGTTGACGATCGCATTCCGTGACGTGACAAGGCCGTTTCACGCAGGCTACGTCATTACGACTTGGTAATGGACGTATATACGGGTAGGTTTGACTACCTCTAAACGAGAAAGATCGTTTAACTCGTCAACGTGTAGAGTTTCGTCTGACACGTTTCTCTACCAACCTTTCTATTTATCCTTTTCTCTCTCTCTCCCTCTCTCTTTCTCTCTCTTCTCTTTTCTTTTGTCTTCTTTTTATTTCTTTTCCTTTCATTCCTCCATTTGTTTACAACAATGACCATCGAAAAGTCGTCAGAGAGAAGGAAAGACTGAAAAAAGAAGAAAGAAAGGAAAAAAATCTTCTCTTTTTAAAAATTCCTTTCTGGTTCTCTCTCTCTCTCTCTCTCTCTCTCTCTCTCTCTCTCTCTCTCTCTCTCTCTCTCTCTCTCTCTCTCGTTGTCTTTCTTTTTTCGGTTCGGTGTAACGCGTAACGATGCTCGTTGTTTAAACAATGGTACGTAACATCGACCATTTGGAAAAGTTTTCCAAAACGAAAAATCGTAGCTACTACAAACGTTATTACTGTCGTTGGGCTCAACGAACCTTTCGACGAAATTATTTCTCGGCGTCTCGCAGCTGCCGACCTTCTTCTGAAACGTAATCTTTTATCGAGAAAGAGAAGCGAGATCTTCAAGCTTGAGATTGAAACTCGAAGAGTCAGAAAGAAAGAAAGGTAGAAGAATAGTCTGCCCTGATAGGTAAGATAAAACGTCAAAAATGTGACCACGCGATTCTTTTATCGAGAATAACGTTTCAAACAGACTGCTTTCAGAGAAAATCCATGGAAAGATCATTCAGAAAATGGAATCCATCGACTAATCGTCGCCAAATCATACGCGCATGTGTTCAAACGAACAAATGAATTTATATTTGAATTCGATGATCAAAAATGTCTTTTCGAGAAAAGAACGAAATCATAGATCAAAGATTTTCATTTCGCATTGACGCGAACATATTGGTGCGTTTACGTTACGAGAAATTCCGATATTTGTATGGCTAAAATGTATGGCTCGATATTTGCGTGGAACAAAGTCGCATATCGTCGTCACGATTTGTCGGTGCACGCAAAAGATCGTACGGAGTTATAAGACACAAATGGTTTCTCGTGATAAAGTACCGTGGCTTCGTATTCCTTTAGCTTTGTTCTCTTTTTTTTTCTTTTTTTTTTTTTTTTTTATTTTGTTTTTTTATCGACGAAAATCATTTTCGCCACTTGACAGAACGTTCTCGGAGAGAACGATATAAATCTTGCTACTTTTAGTAATCTTTAAGAAGCAAAAAAATTAAAAAATAATTTTAATTCTTGATCGGCTTCGTATAAGAATCAAATCCTTTTCTCTTCTTTCGATTTAAACTCGTAACGGATCAAAATGAAACACGGAAAGTGACTTAATAAAGACAGAAAAGATTTCAACGTCACTGAAACGAGCGTCAAAGATACGCCGTTTGAAGAATAATACCTTCAGATCCTGCATTTATGAACGGACTTCTCAAGCTGTCATTGGTTTCTTTGTCATCGTCGACGATCCTTCGCATTCGAAGTCACGACGTGTACCAGATGCCATGAACTCGTTTCTTCTTAACATCCATCTCGGTCTCCCTTGATCTCATTTTCTTCTTCTTCCTCCTTATTCTCTTTACACCCTTCAAATTCACCGACCTTTCTTCGAGTCTTTCATTTTATCTTTCTCTCTGTGTTTCTCTCTTTGCGTTCAGACGCAAAGCATATCCTTCCGTTGTTCTATCTGAACGAGATAATGTCGAGTTAATAAAGCTTCGGCCGTTCGATACGTTCATTCGTTCATTCGTTTGTTCGTTCGTTCGTTCGTTCGTTCGTTCGTTCATTCGTTCGTTCGTTCGTTCGTTCGTACGTTCGTTCGTTCGTTCGTTCGTTCGTTCGTTCGTATGTTCGTACGTTTGTACATTCGTTCGTTTGTCCGTTCTTTCATCTCTACACGCCGAGTAAACCAAAGAAATGCGGTTAAATGAAGCTGTACACGGAACGAAGCATATTTTAATGTCTTACTTCCACCGATAATGTACGTGCCCGGTGTGTAAATACGATGAACTTGGTAATGCTCGGAGAAACCAGTTTTCGAGACTACAACGAGAGAAAGAGAGGAGAAGAACAACGACGACAGCGACAACTGTGGTAGAGCGCGTGGCGCTTAACCGCGTACCTATTCTCAAGAGCCTTTTGACTAATCGACGAAGAAAAAGAAGGGTGAACAGATTTTAATAAAAATTTTACCTTTAGGGAAAACTCCAATGAAAATTCTTTCTCGATCGATCAACTCCAATGATCGAACTAATTTTTCAATTCGGATTCGTTCAATTTTCTTCAAATCAATCCAGATATTTTAATCATCGATTACGAGATTTTGACGATAAATTTTCCCGTATCCGATTGAATTTTCTAAGTATTTATCAGCGAAAGCACTTCAATCGAGACGAAAGAGAAGAATTATTAGATTGATAGGAAGGAATAGAGTACGTTCAGCTTCTCGTAGGTAATTGCCAACATAAAAACGAAACTCAACTATAGCTCTTCTCCATCGTGTCATAATCTCATATAATTGCTGTTATACGGCCTTACTTAATAAAGAACAAAAAACCGTGCTGAAACAGCCGTATAAAAGGAAAGAACCAGTTTTAAACATCGGCTCTCTCTCTCTTTCTTTTACGTATATTACGTTAAGTAATCAATAATTCTCGTGGTCCAGCACGCACAAATTAATTTAATAGATATTTGCGCGTTCTGACAATTATTATCTCTCAATTTTTTTTACAACAATAAGTAAAACCATCTTTTTTCAGTAAAACCATTCTCTCTTCTCTCTCTCTCTCTCTCTCTCTCTCTTTCTCTCTCTCTCTCTCTTTACCTTTTTTTCTTTTCGATTTTCGCTCGTGAATTTGTGCGAGCGTAACGTATGGATAAGATTACCCGTTATACTCGCGGCTACAAACGAAACTCCTCGGTTGCGAGAAAGTGGAAGGAGGATGAAGGAGGGCAAGAGGAGCGAGGACTGCTTTCAGGAATTTCAGGATAAATGTGACAAAGCTTATTTCGGTCGGCCGGTCTTACATGCGCGCGAGCGTGTACGAATTACGAGAGACCCCCAACAAAAACAGTTTCCACGGCCGTAAACACGCTCGGTGGTCGTTTTTCTCATCCTCCCTCCTCCTTCATCTTTTCGTTCTCTTGTTTTTCATTTTTCCACATTTTCGCGACCACGAGTCATGAGAAATAAACACGTGACCGTATCACAAAAAGTTACAAATATGACGTAATTCACCTTCTCTCACCACCTCCCTCCCACCGCCTTTTTTATTCTCCCATTACTATTATCTAATTTTGATACTTTTCTCAATAACATTCTTCGTTTTTTCGTTGGATGCCATAAAAAAAAAAAAGAAAAAAAAACATCTTCGCATTCTCTTCCGTTGCATTATGGTGCGTACAAATTAATGATCGGCACTCATTACAGAGTTTTTTGTGATTCGTAAGAGCGTCGTTTCGTCTGCTCGAAAGTCGACGAACCTTCTACGGTGATTTTAGTTTAACGATTCGTTGTAAAGGGAAAGTCTCGTACCGTTCCGGTACGGGTTGTTAAATTTTATTATTACTTATTCCTTGATCTTGGCAGTTTGAGTTTTCGAAAGGGATCGTGAAATCTCCTTGAAAAATGATTAATTTTCTAAGATCCTATTTTAACGACTACACCAACCATAAATATATTTTTATCGTTACGTTACGTTCGTCTGATATTTTCTTTTCAGATACTTTTGTCGCACTTCGACGCGTTCAAGTTTCCCAGCTCGGAAGTGGTACAGTTCCGTGCATTGGTGACACCCTGCATGCCAAGTTGCGAACCGGTACAGTGCGATCAGGAAGAGGCTACGGGCGAGCTAAGATCAGTAATCTCGTTCGGTCGACGTCGTCGTCGTCGTTCAACCTCGTCGTCGCAAAGCCGAGAGGATCTACTGTTGGTACAATCAATCCAAATTACAGACAAGTTTGGATTCGAACGAGAAGGGAAACCATCGAACGGCACGTCGGCTACGCGGGACACCGTCTTCGTCGAAAGTACCGAAGACATTAATGGCTCATCGATGGGAGTTTGCATAAATCTTGGTGAGGCAATTGTGGCTGGTACGGTCTTCCTCGTTGCACAAATTGCCATAATCGCAGTATGGACCTTTACCTGGCAACGGCGTCGACAAATGTTAAAACATCAGGAAGCCCTCTCGGTATCGGTATCTGTGCCAGGCATGCACTCGCCTGGTTCAGCTCGTACCGATAGTCTCTGTAAGTTATATGACGCCGGTTACGCCGGACGTCGTTTCTGAAGTCGAAAGACTTACATCGTCATCTTTCAACCCTCTTCGATCTACGCCCTTTCTCGCCTCTTATCGCGTCTTGATCATTCGTAGTAAACTGTCCGATATTACCGTACGGCGAGTAATTAACGATGACGCACGAAGCGCGAGTCCCGACTTTTGTCACGACGAACGGACAATTTTTAATGCTTTTTTTATCCCCCCCTCTCTATTCTCCAGTTTTACTATACTATCCTTTTCCCGTTGCATCCCGTTTTCATCATCTCGATTAGTTCTTTCTTTTTTTATTTTTTTTTTATCTTCCCCCCCCCCTTCTTCTTTTTACAGAATCTTTTTTAGCTCGCTTGGCACTTGTCCGTTACCTTGTACTCGGGAATCGCGCGAAATTCTCGGCGCAGTCTGATTTAATATAGATATTAAGTACGACGGCTTGGACGGACGAAGAAAAAAGAGATTAGTAAACAGAGTATCTGAGTGTGTATGTCCATGATTCCAAGTTGCTTTCCGTCCAAGCCATCGATCGATCGAATTCTGCTATCTTTAATCGCGCGTCTTACGTTCGTGCATCTTCGATCCAATTTGCCAATGCTTAGACTATCGTAATTTTCTACGAAGGAACGATCGATCGATCGAGCTTTCGAAGTGAAGAAAAAAAGAAAGAAGGGAAGGAAATGAGAAAGAGAAGAATGGCTGGCTGATACTTTCACGAAGAAGTTCGATCGGTCGTTCCAGGCTAAAGAAAGAAGAAGCACGAAGACGAAAGTAGAAAATATAAAAGAAAGTAGAAAAGAAGAGGAAGGAATGGGGGTGATGTCTGTCCTTCTTCTTCCAACAAACCGGTTGCTTCTCGTTAACCCTTCGTTCCCGAGGCAATATGCGCGGGCGTGGAGCCGAGGCGTGGCACGGCTCCGAAGGTGATAGAGGTCGACGTGTATTTGCTACGTAGGATAGGGTACCGCACCATGGACTCTAATTAGCATTGGGAATCGAGCGTGATTATGCAGATGCTCCGAGTAGGATATCAACGGGTGTAACGATGGGAGGGCCAAGGAAGGCGCGAGAGATCGGTTGGAGCAGCTCGAAACGGAAGGAGAAGCGAGAACGAGGGGGAAACATGGTTGAGAAGGGGTGGTACGCGCGCAAAGGGGTTGGCGGAAGGTTAATTGCCTCTTGTGGTGTCTCGAGGCTAAGCTAAGCTTGCAGGGTAGAACTTGATAGGGTTGGATGTACCCACAGCCGGTGAACGGAAGGGAGGTCTACAGGAGACAGAGACGCAGGATGAGTAGAAGGAGGTGGAGGATGGGGGTAGCTTTGGATCACATCGGAGATAGCCATCTCCTTCACGTAACCTCGATCTCTCCCCTTTCGAACTGAACCTTAGCCACGTCCTGCATCTCCGTCCTGCCTGGCTTAATTTACATCGCGACGCGTGACCTTATCAATCTGGAGACGACGTATTCGTCGTCCTCTCGCTCTCAAAAGTGAGAGGGAGAGAGAGAGAGAGAGCGAGAGAGAGAAAAATAGATATCGGCAAAATAGAAAATATTCCCTTAGGAACGAAGAAAATTCTCGTAATCAAGATTTTGCTTGCTCGACACTGATTCGAATTTCGCGCGAAGACGAAGCGATTATAGTTCGAACGAACATCTAGACAGAAGCTAATATGAATTTCCGAGATAGAGAGGAGAAAACAAAGTGGCTAAGCAATCGAAATTCAGCATAGGCGATGGTAGTTACGCTAGGTAAATTTAGATCGATTAACCTTATCGAAGGGACTTGGTCGATTCTCGACGTTACTCTCTAAGTGGTAGGGAAATCGAATTAATCGAGAAAGTTGAAGATTAGAATACGCTAGTCAAGACAAACAGACAGGGTGAACGATAATAGAAAAGGACGAGAGATAGAGAGAGATAGAGGGACAGAGATAGAGAGAGGAAGAGAGATGAAAAGCGGGTTGCCATAGAGGAATTTACCTTACAGTTACCCGAACTTTGAATTGTTCTGCTGTTTGACGTTTGTCTACGGTGGAAACGAGGGAAGCGTGCTCGTGGTTTATTCCCGTACGTATGTATCTAACCAGTGGAATACGTGGATAATGACTACCTGTCCGCTACGCTCAACGTTAGGGAAATGTAGTCTCCGTGTCCGTACCCTTTCTCTCTCTCTTTCTATCTCTACGCGTATTCCCAATGTCACGGCGTGTTTATAAATTTCTACTTTCGTGCCGTCAGTAATGATTTCAATCGCCGTGTCGACCGGATTATATATAATTTACGAGGAAGACAGGAAGAAGCGGGGGTGGAGCACGTTGAAGAACAAGGCAAATGGAAAAAGAAAAAGAGAGGGAGAGAGTGAGAGAGTGAGAGAGTGAGAGAGAGAGAGAGAGAGAAAGAGAGAGAGAGAGAAAAAGAGAAAAAGACATGAAAGTTTAATTGGCCGTTTAAAAAAATTACGTTAAATCTTTTTCTCTCTTTTCATCCATCTACAAGAAACAAAATTTCGTTTCTCTCTCTTTCTCTCTCTCTCCCCTCCTCTCTCTCTCTCTCTCTTTCTCTTTTTCTCGTCTTCCTCTCTTTTTTTTTTTTTTGTTATTATTGTCGATGCCAAGCCACGATTAGTTCGCTTATTTTTTCCACTCTCTATCTCGATAAAATCGCAAACTTCCTCCGTGAAATTTGACTTGCTTGATTTTTCGCTCACGAGAAGGTGCTCTTTATTTCATTCCACGATTTTTTCCGCCGGCCCTTCTACGCTTATTCATCTGTTTGCTTTTTTTTTTCTTTTAACAACAATAACAAAATAGTATATATATATATATATAAATATACATTTGCATATACTATACTATAGTACGATACACAAATAAATACCGACTGATGGTGCCTAATGAGTTTTTTATATATATTTTTTTTTCTTTCTTCTTAATCGCGAGCGTCAAAGCTCGAAAAAGAGCGCTTTCAATTACGATAACTATAAGTATTTTTCGCTAACGCAAGATGGTAGTATATTCAATCTGCTTTGTGGTGAGAGGGTAGAGTCAATTTTTCTATTTTTTTTTTAAATACCTGTTCGTCGTTAATAAACGAACCTAATATCTCAATAATATCGCGAAACGCGTGCCCAGCCATCGCGTTTTTTGTTAGAAACGTAATCGCACGGTGCACTTTTGCCGGTGTACGATCAGACGCGAGAACATTATTCCTTCGTTTCTAATCATTGCCTGCTTCTTTTCGATATTGGAAAAGATAAAAAGAAAGAAAAAATAGGAAAAGAAAAAAATACAAGAAAGGTCGATCGATCGATTTAATTCATGTGATAGAGAGAGAGAGAGAGAGAGAGAGAGAGAGAGAGAGAGAGAGAGAGAGAGAGAGAGAGAACGAAGCACAATAATAATTTCTCGCGTCTAAGTCGTACGCATAAGCAAGTAGCAATATATGAGTAAGTAAATAGTGGTAAAAGAAAATAATGCAAAAAAAAAAGAAAAAAAAAGAACGAAGGTGGAAATCACAGGTACGAGCACTTTCCATCGACTTGATTGAACGAGAAATCGCGCGCAATCGAGAATAGAAAGAGCGAGAAAACGCGCAACGTTTGATTCAACTCATTGGAAACTGCCGATATTCCGTCGACTCTAAGATATCTTTTTAACTAACTAACTAATTTTACTACTTTATTCCCCCTCCCAATTTTATTTTTTTTTTTAACGTCGTATACGATGGGAGTTAA